TTTCACTAGTGAGTAACATATAGGTTTCTAATAACCTTGAGTTTTATTTATGAAAATTATCTGAATCTTTTGTTGAATTACACGGTGACTTAAAGCCTGAAAAGTTAAAACTGTTTTGCAGTGCAAAAAAGAGAGTGCGGGGGGGAGACCCAGAAACAAAAATAAAATTACGTTTAACCCTTAATCAGGTTGTTCATCTTCTGAAAAAATATAGCTATGTGATACAATTACACATGTAGAATTCACTACTAAAAGCTCACAATTAGGACTTAACAGTGAATAACCAATCTCATTAATCATTTCAAAAATGTGTTTACTAATGTCGCATTTAACCAAAACTCAACTACTGAAAGAAGGACTAGAATAAGTTGGTGTAATCAGGTCGATGACGAAACAACCTGAGCATGATTCACGACCATATCTTCAAAATGACCAGTAGGAGGCACTGAAGTGCCACCAAGTATAGAGAATGACCAATACAAAACCAACGAAAGCATCCTAAACAAGGCATGTCACGTCCTAAAACAGTTAATAATAAAATCATATTATCAAAAAACATAACCAAAATTAAATTTTAAAAAATTAAGAATAGAAAAAAAACAATCCATGGTGAATAAAAACATATTTTATGCAAGTTGATCTCAAAAGGAGGGAAATACACAGCAAAACATGTGATGTAAAGAAATCACTATAAAATAAAAACACAGCAAATGAAAGCTGAAAATTAGAAAAAATTGAATAGTGATCATATTTTTTTAGTTTGTGGAAAAACATTATAACTGTCTTATCAATAATATCCCACTTTATTAAATGAGTTCATGAAATTTGCAAGAGCAGCTTTGAAACTTTCCCCTTTCCAGGACTTCAAAAGCCATTTCCTTAACCTCTGCCCTAATTCTTAGAAAGGTGAAGAGTGATTGGGAACAAAACGAAATGAGAGACAACCTAAATTTGTCATGCTTGAAAACAATAAAAGTGTAAAAGTACCACCATTACAAATGACAGAAAAGCTTGTAGAGGAATAATCTCTTTGTTCCTCTCATTCCTCTACAAGAGAAAAATGATATAGAGTTTAATTACTGACATGTAATGATGAAATGAAGCGCTAAAAATAAATAAAGAAATAGTTGTATCACTTTGAATCTGGTAAAACTGCTCCAGGCAAAACATAACTTCCAATATCATAATTTTTCTTTAATTATATGACAGAATTCATATCTTGGATATTCTATGTTTAATCCTACTGGAGCAGCTTTTCGCTTATCCAACCATAAGGGCTGTGAATGTCTGCTGCCTTTATAAAACGTTTTTGGTAATTGGTAGTAAAAACACTTTACCTTAATTGTCTTGAATGTCGGCAGCAATAAAACAGAAGGTGGCAGTATTTATTCATTACAGCACAGACTGGTGCTGAGCTATGAAGATGTAAAAGCTTGACTTGGCAGCATAGGATCTTCTTTCAGTTAAAATGTGCTTAAGTGCTGGAGTCAAAGGTCATCATAGAACAGTCACAAGCTTTGATAAATAAATACAATCCCACCATGCTGTTGCATTGTGCACATGCTGCAAAAATCAAGGTGTGGGAAGTATAAAAAGGAAAAGAAAAAAGACAGTAATACCTCCACTTTCTGACCAATGAGAGAAAGTTGAAAAACAAGCTGTAATTTTTATGGTGAAAAAAAATTAATAAATCAGGTGGTTGCACAACTACACCATGATTTATAATCTGTTGAAACACCTTTTGATTTTATCACAGTTCTCAATCTATTTGGATAACAATATATCAACATGACACATCTTGACGTGGGAATATTTACCTCCTCTTCTGTGAAAAAAAATCTCAAACCAAGTCAGATTTTGATGTAGAACCCTCTTTGGATTGGGCTCTGGCCACCGGTATAAAAACTTTAACCTTCTTCTAATGAAGTCATTGTTTTATTGATTTAGTTATTGATAAAGTTACTGTTAAAGGATTAAGTAAAATGAAGTTAAGTTTATTTGTACAGAACATTTCAGCAACAAGGATATCAAAGTGCTTTATGTGATAAAACATAATGCAGCAATCAATTATAAAACTAACAACAAACCAACATTTTGTCAAATCCCATCAAAAGTAACAATAATCATCAAAAATCCGTCAAATATAGTAATCAATTTTCCAGTCCTGAATCAAAAGTAACTCTTAGCTTTAGGCCTTGATTTTAAGGAAATCAGTGTTTCTGTATGTGTGTATTTTTACAAATGTGGAAGAAAAAAAAGAAAATTATTTTTTTCTATCTTTCAAACTAAAAATTATTAAGTTAAAGGGAAGTCTACTTTTGACTTTTGGAGTAGAAACAGGGTCATAAAAATAATAATAATAAAATAAAATGGTAGAACAAAAATAACACAATATTTTATTTTTAAAAAATGAAATAAATATTGCAAAATAAAAAGTGCTGTCATTTATTGTACTATGTGAAATGGAGTTACTGGATTGGACTGATTGAGGCTTTAAGGCTTTTATCTTGTTTTTTTATATACATATACAATTAAATCTGTGTATTCATGTTTTGCTTTACAGTTTTATGGTAAACGAAGGTGAATAGGTTTAACTTGTCATTGAAACATGATGATGAGTTGACTGATGAGCAGATAAGTGTCTTAAGTCACACAAAGGTATTGACTTTAAATATGTAGCAATAAGTCATGCAGGCAGCCATGTAGGGGATTTAAATCTTATTTATTTATCTACTTAAATCTCTTTTAAATCTCTGTGTTTGCTCAACATAATGGAACTGCAATGTGGGTGTGTTTACAGTTCAAACAGCACATCCTCACAGACTCCCTGCAGACTCTGTCTATTTACCTGGAACAAAACACAGAAGTTTATCCAGGCTGATTATCCTGCTGAGAAGCATCACGCTTTCTGCAGCCGACTTCAACAAGAAGCTTCCAGATGACATCAGGTGTGCACATCTCTGTTCCCTCATCATATGCTGGAACATGCTTTGCAAAATGGCAAGGAAAAACTTGAAAGATTAGACTCTGGCTCCTTGGCAGAAAAATAGGAAGATTAAAAAAAGGCTTCACTCAAGTCTTGCACAGTATTTACTGAGCAGTTAGACAGAGAAAACATTTTGGCTTGTAACATTTTGCCTGTGTCAAAGCAGCAGATCTATATTGCCTGCATTATACATCATTAAGCCCCTGTGGCATATTGATTGGGACACTGCTGACTTAGTGCTGAGTGGCACTTTAGAGCCACAAGGTGTCTCTGCACTCCTCCTGTGGTCAGTCTCCCTGATGGACACTGGGCCAGACTTTTATGCGGTTCATTGAAATCTACTCTATTTTATTTTTGGGGCGATTATGAATTGCAGCAATAATTAGTTTCGTCAAAGACATGCTTCTTTCTAACTGCAAAACCTGCAGGAAAACCCAAATGTACTCAATTTGATTCAGTGAATGTCCCTTGTGATCGCTCATTGGTCATCCCACCTGCCAGCTCTGGATTCCCCCTCACTCCTGGCCAAGCAATATAGAGCAGATAATATTATTTTACCAAGAAACTGGCCTGACCTCAACACCAACTCATATTTTTTTCTGAGCTGCCTGTGCAGGGAAGTAGCAACAATGAGCCATACGCAGGGCCAAAGTTCCTGCAAGTCCTACTGTAGAAAAGGCAGCATAAACAGACGTTTCCTCCCATTCCTGGTGTTTCAAAAACCTCTCTGCCAAACACGCCACAGTAAACACAATGCAGATGCAAGTGTCAATAAATTAAAATCCCTTAACTGTGTCAGTTCTGCTCATGATTTATCTGGCAATCGGACCAAAAGGGAAAAAAATGTCAGCAATAGATGAAAAAGAAATGAATTTTGTCTTTTCTATCTTTATTACTGAAAAGAAAAAAAAACTCTAACACTAACAAATATGCACTGATAGAAACCAAAGCTGAGTAGCCAGACTGCAAGATTTAAAATAAATAAATAAATGAACAGGAAGTATAAGAATCAAGCTGATTAGCTGGCATTGGTAACCACAATGCTTTCATACATTTTATTGCTTCCAAACTGTCTTGAAATCTCAAGTGTGGCTCAAACATTTTGCTGAATCAATGCAGAATAAAAGTGAAGAGCTTTGAAGAAATACTTAAAAACTTGCTTTTTCTACTTAAAAAAAATGTAAGAGAAAGCAAGGAAAATCTCAAATAGATGGTCTCAAAAAATATCACCAGGAATGCAGAACTCTAATTCTTAATCTCTTGAATCCATGTTTTATCACATTATAGTCACAGACTTCAGTGTATTTTATTTCAATGTTATGAGAGACTAACAAAAAGTAGTGCACAACTGAAGTGAAAGGAACATGATAAATAGGTTTAAAAATATTTTACCAATTAAAATCTGAAAAATGTAGCATAGCAACTATTGGCAGGAAGAAAGTCATGAGGATTCCCATTAAAAGCGGGAGAAGATGCTCTGGTCAGAGAGTGTAGTGGAAAACCAATACTGCCCATAGCATGGTAGTGGCAGCATCATACTGTGGGAATTTGTGTCTTCAGCAGGATCAGGGGCACTATGGGGGGGGAAAACTGTTAGAAATGCCTTCACAGATTAGCATTTGTGAAAACATTTAAAGATAAAATTTTTTTTATCCAGTTCACTCTGACACTAAATGTTTGTTGTTGTAATGGGAAGAACTATGAAATTGTTCAAGGATTAATTTTCAAGGCAATGTATGTAGATATGAGACTCAGTTTTAGGAGGGTGGATGAGCCTTATCATAAGAAAGCAGCCAAATAAATAGAAGCATTTGTAATCTACAGTTGAGCAGTTTTCATAGAATAGTCTGGCCAGCAGTTTAAAGGTTTTATTAAGCTTGGCTTTGCTTCCTTAAGACTATTTCTCCAGCTGATCTCTCTGCTTAGTGCTATATGGACTTAATTTATTGCTCCATCCGAACAGCCAAACCCAGACAGCCACATGAGCCAATCCCTGAATTTTTCCGTGTTTTCCAGTCTGCCTCCTTCTCGCCCCACTCACACTCTCAGTCAGAGCGCGGCGTTGACAGCCACTGATCAACCCACTTTGTCGGGGTTTGCGTCTCCATGCAAGACTGCTGAAAAGAGAAACTCTGACTTTTTATTCTTGCAAAGCAAATCGTGCACTGCCCGCCCGGAGAAACCGTCCACGGCTGCAGAATTCACAAAAAAAAAAGAAGAAAAGAAAAGAAAAAGAAAAGTAAAAACAAGCAAACAAAAGAAAACCTTTTAAAGTATTTTTTTTCTAGAATACCCCCCACCGTCTCTGCACAACAATGTCTGGAGAGGACGCACCTGCTCAGCAGCAAAACGCCGTGGACCAGAAGCAGGAGACCAAGCCCGCCGAGGAGCCCAAAGCCGAGCCGCCCAAGACGGAGTCCGCGGAGGCAGCGGCCACCCCGGCGGCGACCACCGAGAAGGCCCCCGAGGAGGAGACGTTCACCTACCGCGCTCTGGTGCTCACCGGCTTCGGAGGCTATGACAAAGTCAAGCTGCAGGTGAAGAAGGGAAAGCCGGCGCTCAAAGCCGGCGAGGTGCTGGTCCGGGTCAAGGTCTGCGGGCTCAACTTCGCCGACCTGATGGCCAGACAGGGTCTCTACGACCGGCTGCCGTCCCCGCCGGTCACCCCGGGAATGGAGTGCTCCGGGGTGGTGGAGGCTGTGGGGGAAGAAGTGACTGACAGAAAAGTAAGCGCACATCCCTGTAGCATTCTTTGCATTCAGATGAATATTTGTTTCTGCTTTTATTTTAGTATGAAAGTGATGAATATTGCTTGATATCAGCTCGGTTTGGGGTGCTTTGTGGATATATGGGCGTGTCAGGCTTCACTCGCTGCTCGGAGACGGCGGCGCAGCCTCATTGTGTCAGTGGCACAATGTAATGAACTTCAAGCTTCAAGGCTCAAATCTATTTTTTTTTTTTTAAATGTAACAATCATTACAATCAGTTTGTGCATTTTGATTGCGCTATATTGGCTCACAATATGCAACTTATTCAGTTAGTTCTTATGTTTGAATAATTGAGGAGCATCAAAGTTGAGTTTATTGGTTCATTTGTCGAATCTGGAGTCATTGAATGTCTGTTAAAAAGTCTTTTGATGACACAAGTTGTAACGCCGCCAGAAGCAGGCGTCGCCCCTTCTGTCTCACCATTTTGTTAAACTGCAACTTAAGCCAACTTCCATTATAAGCTGCAAATAAGATGCAAAGATGCAATTTGTTGTTTCTGTCTGTCCACGCTGCGTGTGTTGTAAGCGTAAAGCTAAATAAGACCATTTAAATCCACGAGATGCCTTCGATCCTCGCTGCACCCACGCTGCTGTGCGCTTTGATGTGCGCCACGGTGCGGAGCGCCGCATTAAGCTGGCAAGCGGCGGTACAGGAAATTGGAGTTTCTTGCTTTCAAAGTTAAAGCTCTCCTCTCTCCGTTGCGAATCAGATCTGCTTTTTGCTCACATATACTTAGAATGAACAGCGCAACGTAATAAAATAAAGAAAAAATCATAAACGTCGGGGAGAGTAAAACGCTGTAAAGCGCAAGAATCTGCGTAAGGGACAACTGTGAATTCAAAGACGTTGAATTAGGCGGAGACAGCAATTTATTTTGGAGAGAAATCGGAAGGAGCTCGCAGTGGTTGATGCGGTTGGACACCGGTGGAGGAGATCGGAGTCAGCGACGCCTTTTGTTACCGGGAGCGACGGTGGCGCACAAGTGGAAAAGGGCGAGGCGCGGCAGGAACAGACACCGTCAGGTGCGAGCAGTGGGGCCGTCTTTGTCCTCACAGCTGCAAGCCTGCAGGCTCGAATATATGTGCAACAACATTCATATTACAATTAAATTTCATATCTTACTATAAGAAAAGTAATAAAACGGTTCAGTGTCTTTTGCAGTTCGTGATGAGTCACAGGCCAGTGGTCGCTCGTGGCTCTTTCCTGGCTGCATGGCATCACCACGGCAACGTCTCCGAAGGGCAATTTGACCTAACACACAGCGTGATGATTCACATTGTTTGAGCATCATATTCCGGATAACACTCTGATTAGCGCGTGTGTGACGCAAGCGCGAGCAGGCCGACTTCACCTGGCTGGGCGTGGCGCGTGCGTCTGAGCGCAGGATGCACGCGGAATCAGCGGTGCGCGGTGAAAGTTCAGCCCAGATGAATTTATTGCTGTTTTCCTCATTGTCAGTGATGTTGATTGGATTTAAAGGTCACAAGCGACACACTCGCGCACACATATGCAGCTTGTCATCACACTCCCACATCCACTGGCAGCTTTTTTCTTTTTCTTTTTTTAGCTAATTGAATTAAGAGCCAATCCCTCTAATGACTGGAGATCTCTGAGATCCGTGTTTTGTTTGGTTTTTTTTACTTCTAACTCAGAGGGAATTTGCTGACCACGATGTTGCAGCTTTTATTTAGGGAGGTTTATTCTCTGCTACTCTATCCATCACACACACACACACACACACACACACACACACACACACACACACACACCACACACACACACACAGGCAAAGACACATAATGGGTGTGTCTGAGTTTCCTTCTAAGAAAGCTCCAAACATGATACTTTTTAAACAGATTAAGTAACATATGCAGCAAATCAAATGCGATTTTCTTTAATCTTTATTGCTGTTTATCTCACTCTCTGATTTGTCTGCCTCTCATAACCATAAAATACGTTTTAATATGAATTTATGATATTAATATTGCAAGCATTTAGATTTTTTTATTGAAAATAAACTTTTGTATAAAATGTAATTTTTGTTGGATGGCTTAGATGTGTCCTGGAAGACTTTATCCTGGCTCACTTATTCGTTTGATGATTGATTCCACTTCTTTTGTCTTGCGGATTTCATATTTTGCTGTAACTCTATAACGTTTACAAAATAAGCACTCGTTCAGATGCTCGGTAATGTTGAGTGAGCGTGCAGTGAGCTCACCCGACATGACCTAAGAGGGATTGTTGGGAGAGTAATGGAGAGTAAGCGAGGAGAGAGAGAGGAAACATCACAAATCACACCAAAGCTCCCCTGATGCCAAATAGGAGCACTTTTTTCCCCCTCTTCCTCCAGGCTTGTTTGAAAAACATGGAGACTCTCTCCACTGGTGAGTTTTGGAGGGATCTGATCCATATGTTCTCAATTACCTCCCTCCGGTCCACATTGTCAGTCTGGTATTTCCTCCATCGTCCCACTTCATCCCCCCCTTCGCTATCTATCTGGTCTCAAGTCATCTTGAGAAACCCCCTTTACCCTCTGGTCACATCTGAATACCTCTACTGATAAGCAAGATAACTTGTTGCTCACGTTTAAAGGACAATACAAGGCAAACAGTAAAATGTAATTGATTTTCTAAGGTGAAGACTTTTACTTTGTTTGTCCAGTTGCAAAATGAGATGAGGTGATACAGTCATTTGAAGAGCAAAAGAGAAACGTCAAAGTTACCACCTCACATATGGCTTCGGTCCTCAGTAAACTTCAATTGTGTTTTCTTGAGGCACACGTTACTGAAATGCTAAGCTAACACTAACATGTTCCCTCTCTGTTTTGATGTAGTCATTGATAGATCAACTTGTAAAATAATAACTCAGTGTGGTTCAATTTAATCTTGTGCTAAAATTGAACAAAAAATTTATTTTTACATATATCATAAAATTGCTTTGAAGATCATAATTATTAATGACTAGTGTTTCAGCTGCTTTCTGCACAGCTCTTACAAAATGTTAAGTACGTTAATTATGCACAATATTAACAAACCTTGCAGTGGTGATATTGTTGAAAACTGCAATGACATCATTTGTGATAAATCGTCTGTTTGATCCTGGGCAACTGTCCATTTGGCGTATATAAAAAACTGGCATCATCCTTTACAGTGAGAATCTGTTCATCCATCATCTTTAACCGTAGTGTCATGAGCCAGACTCAACCAATTTATTTTTATTTTTTCATAATATTTCTGTCAAAAGTTTGAAAATGTACAAATAAGCCAGTATAAAATTTAACTTGCTAGTAAAGTACATTTAATCTGTGCAGCTTTATACAAAAAAATTAACAAAACTAAAGTAGTAAGAGGCAGTAAATATTTGAATTGATGCAAAACGAGACTCATATTGTTTCATTTTTGGGTGCCTTAACACCCCAAACATCACGTCTTAAGGGCTGTTAAGGCACTGTATCACTTAAAGTTCAGTTACCCTTTAGTCACAGATGAGTGAGCTTCATAAGTATTACATTTAACCTTTTTTTTTTTCCTCTGTCTGACTCAGAAACCCAGCTCAAAAAAATCTGGTCACCCTTATAATTTTTTTTTGCTGAGCTTGTCAAAGCTCCGAACTCCAAGCCAGCTGACTCGGCGGGCATGCATACCCCAAAACTGAATCACCATCTGATTAAGTCTATTCATTTAAAGTTAACTGGAAGTGTCTTTGTTCGGTGACCTCCCCCCTCGCTCCTGACCCCAACTGAGACTGCTCAGAAAGAAGGCTGAGAGGAAATGCAAGAAGTGACTGCTTGTTTCTGTGTCACGCTGTGAAGATGTTGAAACAGAAGTGTCACAAGGCCTTTTTGCTTGCCTTTGAATGTTCCTACTAATGTGACTGTATGACTGACAGTAACTCACATGCTTTGCATGGGCTTGAAAGAATAGAGGCAGATCCTTTTGACTGAGTGAATCATGTTTTTTTTTGTTTTTTTCCTGTAAAAGCCTGAACTCCTCCGCATATCGATTTTTGTACCGCGCTGCACCCCAATTATCCAGTGAGCTTGATGAGTTTGAAGACTCCAACGCCTTGACAAAAAAGATGGAGATGTAGACAGAATAAAGAAGCCAATCGGCAGCAACAAAATAACAAAATTAGATTATATATAGTTTAGAAAGTAAACCAAATGACAGTGAGTCGAGTGCTCGGAAAGAAAGAGATGGGAATCTCTCTAATTGGAGAGGATTGACAGCGAGATGCATGGCTCCCTCCAGACCATTAGAGAGGTCCGGGTGGAGACAGAGTTTGTTCCCAGGAGGAGAGAGCTTGTCTTATGCTCAGCCATGAGGAAGAATCTGGCAGGGAGGCTGATGAGTGGAGAGAAGCCAGGGGAGAAGATGGGCCCCATTGTCCTGTTACGCTCATGAGGAAGAAGGGATGGAAGGGGGACACTCCTCACAAGGGGAGGAAGAAGAAGAAAAAGGAGACAACAAAACGAGGCGCTGGGGATGAAAGCGAGAGCGCCACACAAGACAGACAGGATGAGACGGAGGGGAACTGGAGAAGGGGAAGGAAGACGTTCTAAAGTTGTAAGAGGAAAACGACTCAGGAAGTGAAAGAGAAAGAAGGGAAGAGAAAAAGTGAGGAGAATGGAAACAGGGTGGGAGGGAAGGCTATGTTGGGAGGACTGGATAAGAGGGGGGAGGAAGAAAACAGGAAGAGAGTTATAATGCCGCTGTCGTCTCTGTTTCCTGTGTCCCTCGAGTGAGCTCTCCTGATTGGCTGGTTTTGGGGTTGGGGGGAAGTTTATATCATGGCTCATTCTTCTGGAAAGAGACAGTCGTGTATTTGAGGATCCTGCTTTGATAAGGAAAGGTTGGGTGCTGAGGAGATGGGAATGCACAGGTTGCTACAAGTTGTTCTTAAAATTTAAAGGAACCAAAACTGTTGGTGAAAATTACATTAAGGGCTGTAACTAACAATTAATTCAGTGATCGATTTTTTAATTGATTGTTACATTTTGCAGCTTTTTTTATTCAACCACTTAAGCCTTTGTTCTACTGTAAGATAAATACATTAAAAGATGCAAACAAAGTATTCAATTTTTTATTTTTTAGAGAAAAGAAGTGTCATAGCATTCCTTTACGAGTTTTGGAGAAACAAAACATGTTTACAGACAAAAGTGTTTTTATGTTGATTGCAAACTGTACATAATATTTGTACAGTTTTGGATTAATTACAGGCCCAAATATGTTGAGTGTGAATTAATTGATTGATCAACTATTTGACAATATTTCAACAATCGATTCATCATGATTAATCTTTTATCCCTAATCACATTTATTTCTATTTAAAAGAATGTGTTGTTTGTTACTTTTTTCTTGATGAATTTTGAGCCATTAAAACCATCCATGTTCTCAGCCATGAAAAATGTATTTAATTTTTTTTTACTTATGGTTGAACCTTTGCATGTTTAGTATTTCTTGTTCAGCAAATGATCTTGTCTGAGCAAACAATATTTCCCATTCTTACCAACCCTGCATGTAATTTGCATATTTCACAAATGTATCAAAGAAACAGTTCAGGTTCACTTGGCAGGACACCAATGACTTCAAGACTTTGCTCCTTATTTTTCCACGGCCTTAAAGTACCATCTCTGTTAATTGTCATATAATATTAGTGTGGAATAGTTTAAACTATCTCAGCACTTTAGCATAAGCCACCATTGGGGGAAAAACCAATCAGTGCCACAGGATTTGAATGTTACTTTCCTGGCTGCTTTGCAAACACCAGCCAAAGTATTTCAGCTTCCAAGCTAAATTTTCTTTCGAATATTACATGTTCTATGCTCTAGATAAGTTTGGAAAAATGAGCAAAAACTAAACCACAAACATCCAGGGATTTACTGGGATCCACACATTAGCAGAAGGAAATTATAAAAAAAAAATTTAAATCAAATGTACTAAACATGTCTATTAAAAAAAGGAGTTGGACATAAATAGCCTTAAAATAGCATTGCCCCAAATCACCACAAAGTGTTTCTATTTACGCTCATGCTAGCAATAGCATTGCTGCACAGCCAGCTCAGGCAAGAAATTAGAAAAGTGACAGCAGAAACTCCAGAGAACCACTGCTTTAAAAGTTATGGGATCGTTTTATCCATTTACCAGGATGCGAGTCACAGAAATTACAAGCAGAGACAATAAATGTTTCCTTGGCACCATTTGTTTTCTGATTTTTAGTGAGTCTGTCTCATCATTCGCTGTCTTTTGTTTTAGGTTGGTGACAAGGTGATGGTGCTGAACCGCTTTGGGCTGTGGCAGGAGGTGGCTGTGGTTCCAGCCAGCCACACCTTCCTCATCCCAGACGGGATGAGTTTTGAGGAGGCAGCTGCCCTCCCAGTCAACTACATCACTGCCTACCTGATGCTGTTTGACTTTGGCAACCTGCGGCCCAACCAAAGCGTCCTGGTCCATGCTGCTGCAGGTACAGCATCGCCTCAGACATGTTTTCAGTCAGTTGCTAACAGAGTCATGTAAGGATTAACTAAAAATGTATGAATTCAATGAAATGGAAATTTAAAAACTGAAAGTTAAATGTTATTTTTTTCTTCACTCTGTTGATCATGTGCATTTAAATTATTTTCATTATAATTTACAGAATGTCTCCGTGATCATTTTACGGGTCGGTGTAAAAATATAAATAAATAACACAAAAACTACACGGAGATATAAAATCAGTGCTAAAATACAAAGTGTATAATCTTAACAGCTCGTTTCCCATTTTGGAACGCCTAAATTTCCTAAAATAGTCCATATTGGAATATTAAGTCATACCATAAAAAACATAGATTTTAAATTAAAAAATACTAAACTCTCATAATTGAATTAAGCTTAAAACCCTTAATGCAATCAGGCCATTTCGATCCTGCATCCATTTTTGCAATAATCTTAAAGCTATTGGAAAAGGTTCCATTGTTCACTCGTGTGAGATGTAGTTCAGTGTTTTCCTCCCAGCATGACTACACTAATGCAAGCACACCTGTCACCTGTTCTTTCAGGTCAAAGTTCAGAATGGTTGAGTTGATGGAAAAAACATGGGGACTGAGGGAGAGAAGGCACCTGTTTGGGGGCGCGATGAGCCTAAAAGCTTGTATTTTTTTTTCTGTTTTCATCGTCAGGCCAGCTGGAACGAGGAGGTTGTTAGTTAAAGATTTTGTTCCTGTTTTCTAAATTATCACTTTGCCTCTCATTCCCACTTTTTATGTGCAGGAGGATCTAGGAATGGAGCGTTTAGACTTGGGACAGCATGTGTGGGTGTAAATGGCTCAGAGCACATCATGAAATTTGGCCTTTTTCTCAGTGGGGAACAAAAAAATGATAAAGAGTGTTGGGAGCCTGCCAGTGCAGGTGCGTATGTCCCTTTACATTGACAGGAATTCATTTGTAAGTGCAGCGTTCTGCAATTTACAGTCACAGCTAACAGCGTTGTAGCTGTGGGACTGGCGGTTTTATGAATCCCAAATGTTTGCGTTTATCATATCATATCCAGTTGATGTCATTCACCCCTGTGAGAACACATGCTGTAGCGTTCTGTGTAGAATATGCTCCCTATAGGAGGAACACTCTGGAAATGTGGTTGAACACTCTTCTCCCTGCTGGCTTAGGCAGAGAATCACCTCTTGTTTCTCAGGGAAGACTGCCAGTCTTTGCTCTCCAGCTGTCCGGACAGACAATAGCATTGTAAAACCACATGCCTAGATTGTTTGCATGTCCATTTTCCAAGGTTTCTTCATACCTTGTGTGGGAAAGAGCCCCACCCTCCCTGCTAAGCATCAGCTTCCAGCTTCTTAAGCTTCACATGGAGCTGGATGCTGAGCATCTGTGTGTGGAGAAGATGTTGCACCCAGGATTCTGTCAAAATGGTTCCTGATGTTCACTGATTAGACAGATCAAAGGTATCTGCTGTGGCAGGGCCAGAGTTTGAAGGAGGCTGGGAGGCAGTAGGCCTGTCTGCGCTGAGCTTTCATGTGACGATATAAAAGAAATGGCAGGCAGGCTTTGCTATAATTTTGAACCAGGTCTTTCAAACCAAAAGAAGTCACATTTCTTGACATATTTCAATTTAACTGGATTCCCGATATGATAGTTATTTTTGTAAATCATATAAAGAAGCAGTTATCAGTATATTATGTCTATGTTGGAGCCAGAAAAAAATTAGGCAGATGGGAGGGTAAGAAAGTACAGAATCAGTAGTTGAGTGTTAAATCTCTTATTGCAAATTACCAAAACTAATCTAAGATGACTAAAATTTACTCACCTAAATCGAGATTCCAATAAACCAAAGTTTGGCATCTGTTTTTATGTGAAAGTTTTAAAAAGTAAGCCATTGGTTTAAAAAAAAGTTACATTTAAAGTTAATTTAGTAAGTTTCAAGTTAAAACATTAATAAAGTCCATTTGGCAAGACATGTTTCAAAGATGGAGCTCCATTTGCTCCATTTTCTTCAACTCAAAGCCACATATAAAGCAACATTAGGAGTATAAGAATTATCAAAGTATAATATGTGGTTTGGATTTTACTCCTAAAACCTAATTTATGTTTTGTAAGGCATCCTCAGAACATCAGTAGTTGGGATTTTGACACTGCATTTCAACAGTATAGTCCTGGAGCAGATTGTGGGGGAAGCTGAGAACATCTTTAGAGTCTCTACTTTTTTGTCAGAATCTGAATTTGGTTTTGAATGTTGTCAGACACACTTTACACTCTCTCTGGGGATTTTGAACTGTTGCCATCAGGCTAAAAGCAGAACTATTAAATGTCTACACAGCTTTCAGCTAGAATCTGTTAAAGAATCTGAGCTGTTTTCTTTATTTTACCTGATTCATCAGGTTTATGTCCTTTTGTTTTGTCCAGCTAACCAGTTTTCACTCTAAGGTAGATCCCAGAAAACTGCTGCCTCATTTTGTGCTAGTCTCTAATTTATAAAATGCTAAATACACATATAAGTTTCAGTATAAGTCATCATTTAATGTGGTTCTGCAGTGAAAGAATTAGTTTTTGCCTGAAAAAGAATAATTGCATTTTTCAGACTAATGCAACCTCTCAGTAACTTGCAAACTTGTTTATTTTTCGGCCTAATGGGGCTTTCCTCACCCACTCATTTAAAGCTTCTGGTGCTATAACCTTTCCTAATAATGGTGCTCTTATTCCCTGCACGTACTTTGAAGTTACATAAGAATATTTATCTGACTTAAGTATCACATGATGATGTTGTGGAACACTACTGCTATTTCCCCAATTCCACACATTCCTGTTTTTTTATTTATCATTTTATTTTCTCTTCTACAACTATTCCAAGAAGTTAGCTGTTTTCTCTTTATGCATTCATATTTTATAATTTTGAGAAACAATAATTACAGATGATCAGGGCATAAAAAGTTCCTACCTGGCCACAAATTGAGCACACGCCCTGACAGAGCACGACGGTACCTGCTGCCTCACTGGGGTTAATGGTTTCATCACATCATGACGCTGTTTCAAGACTTCCTGAGTTGCACATCCAACTAAAGAGAAGCAGATTTATGCATCTGTCATTCCTGAACACATCTTGCTCTACGGCTGAATAAAGATAAAATGTTGAGCTCCCTGATGAGATCAGCTTGTGAACGATTTGCACAGACGAGGAGTAACAGTAGTGCCGAAGAGAAGCAGGCAGTGATTTTTTTTCTTTTTTCACTCGCAGTCACAGGGTGCGGTGGTAATCATCATGATTTAATGCAGTGTGAGCTTTCATTGAAGGCCTTGATCAACAGCTTCTTATCGCTGCAGCCACGTACTCCCAACTCGCTGCTTTCTAGTAAGCGCTCGAGGCGAGATGGGGGTAGATGGGGGTGGGTGTTCATCCTGTCTGTGTTTCATGACTGACCTGATTGTTCTAGAAACAAATTAATCTACTGATGTGATCGCTTTGGGGAAATAATCTGGCTTCTTTCAATCCCCAAAGCCCCTCAAGCTTTCAGTGGAGAAGATAATTTATTTTAAACAAAGCAGAAAAATGTAAGCTGTATCTCAAAACATATGTTTTGACAATTATTGCAGATAATTTATGAATTTTAGAGGTTGCACATGCAAAAATATATTTAAAAAATAGGAAATAAAACAAAAGTTTGAGGATAACATTGATAACCTTTCATTTGAAATCCTGTAAAGGTAATTCTTTACTACTTTTAGTTTTGATATAAATAAAGAAATTTTTAGTCTTAAGCTGCAACTATTTACTGTTCTGAAAACATATTAACCAATACAAGGTTATATATTGGCCCATGCATATATGTACCAATATAAAAGTGGTAAATTTTACCCTCGAGTAAGAACTACCATTTTCACAATGTCATTATATTCACATAAATATTTGAATTCAAAACCAGGACAGCATCGATTCTTCCTAATGTTCCAGTACTGAAACATATTTGTCATTACAGTTAAATTATGTGAAAATATCTTTATTATTTTGATCTTCAGATACAAACTAAAGAGACAATGCAGAATAAATAAGTGTGAAACCCAGCACTAGTTTGTAAGTAAATGTGATAATTATCCAAAATATAACTTTCTCACTGTGCTGGACTTTATAGACTAACACTCTGAGTATAACAACCTGTTTTTATCTCATCAAATAGCCTGAACTAGCAGAAAAGCCAGGATGTAAATGCTCAAGTTTGGCTCTCACTTTGGCCACTGTAGGTTTCAAACAGTGTTACTTTTACCAGAGTAATGGCTGCCCCTGCTTTAGTTTCCACACTGTCTGTGTTTCTAAGAATTTTCAAACAGCTGAAAGGTTTCTTTCAGCCAGCTGACCAAATGTGCACAACAGCTGGAGAAAACGAATGTCCCTCGCTTCTTGTCTCCCATTAAAATAACTTTGAGTTGTGAGAATGTTGTCACTCAAAGTTTTTGTGGTTTTAAACTTATAAATAAAACAAAAATAGCCAAACTTTCCTTAGTCTCAACCAGTGATGAGTAGGTAAAAAACAAGATTTTGTCTTCTTAACAGTTTATAGGCGCTCTGTATTTGTTTATGAACTGTTCATGAAAATCAGATAAATGTTCTGGTCATATCCTTTATAAACATAAATGAATGTTCTGTTCATTGGTATTGCATCAACATCTTCTTACTCTACCAAATAAGAAAGTAAGAAGATGGGCCAAAATTTGTAAATGTGCAATAGAACAACTTTTACATCATGCTAGGTTGGTTTGAATCATGTCTTTATGTCATAAATACAACTTTCACTCCACAAAGCCGTTAGTATTTACTCAGCTTTTCTTTTCTCTTCAATTTGTCCAACAATCTCAGACCATTAAAGGTGACAGAACATCAATACTTTTTCTTGAAATTGCAATTTGATTCCTTTAAAAGATGGAACTTTCCTCCAATTACCACGAAAGACGATATAAGTGCTTCCGGTGGTCATTGTACAACAG